CCCTCGCGGCAACAGCCTCTCTTCTGAGCGCCGTCACCGCCGACTTCGAGATCTACCGCGTAGGCATCGGCGGCAACGGCATCACGGAGAATGTCGAAGGCTGGCAAGTCTACCAGGACGAAGCCAACTGCGACACTGTCCTAGATTGGATCTGGCCTGACACCGACGATGCGAGTGGCCGTGGCGTCCGCTGCGAAGGCGACGGCTGCGGCCGCTCTGACGATGATGATCCTGCCAACATTGAGATCCTGGAGATGAATTTCGAGGGCTATCACTGGAGTAAGTGTCCTCCTATCCCTGATGTGCGATAGAAAGGGGAAGTGAGAGGCTAACATACGCTTGCGCAATCTAGCTTACTACCGCGACCGCAATAGTGGCGATTTGGTCGATACGAATGATGTGCCTGTTGGAAAGTGCTATCCGTTCCCCGCGGCATTCCTGACGTGTGGCCTGACCGTCGATCGGCTGGAAGGCTATCGCAAGTTGCGCTGTGACGGAATTGATGTCAACGCTGAGCAGATCAACTCCAACCGCTTCAGTCTCAGGGGCCGCAGCTTGCCTGGGCGCAACTAAGTGCGCTTCGTAATTATTGAGAATGTGGTTCAACACCTTGGATTCCCATTAGGTCGCTCGTCCTCTGTAGTTCACGGTGTGAAATGTTTGTGGGGGTATTATACATTCGTTTTTCTCATGTAGCTCGTACACTCGCTTGGAATAAACAAACAGACGTCTGTTATCTTTCCCTCGTGTGATCAGCGAAACCGCTATGAACATTCCTCTCATTAACGACTCAGGTGCCTGCTTGCCAAGCCCAAGTCAAATTCCAACGGTTCACCCTTCCAAGGCGCATCTGCACCTTCATGAGCTTGATCAAGCGACGGCCTTCCGCTAAGAGAGGTTCGCTGAACCACGACCTCATGCGTGCACCATATCTCGCCATTACCTGTATTCCTCTCATTCGCGCGCCAATGCATCTCGTCCGACGATCTCTTCGACTCCTCCGTGTGCAGCTCCTTCAATTTGAAGCCAGACTCTTCGTCTCCTTCGACAGTAGCAAGGCGACTCTGGCTGTGATTTCGGAAGTTGTCCCTGTTGACCTCCGACTCTTGTGTACGTCCGTAGCCGCGGGAGAACGCGTTGTTCTTGATACGAACACTGGCGACGCCGAGGTAACGCAGTACATGTTGGAACGGCGAGCGTAGAGTCGGTACGCAGATGACGATAAAACCCACGAGCTCTTCGATAGCGGACCACATACCGACAATGATGCTTTCGTTCATCGGGTCGCCCGTCTTGCCAAAGTTCATAGCAGCGATGATTTTCAAGATCGATGCCACACCCGTGAAAAAGCCGAGACCCATGAGTGCGCCGACGATAACGCGTTCGCGAACAGGACGCTGAATGCCACGAAGGAAGGATATGGGAAGGAGGGCGAGTATGAAATCGGTGAGGATGTGGATGACGGAGACGGTTATCGAGCTGATTCTGACTCCTGTCCTGCTCCAGCAATGGCCTTCAACTGTGCCGAGTAGATCCCATGCTTTCTCGACCGGTATGCATTGCAGTAGTGTTGCTAGTGTGTTGTAGACCGCAAGTATGATCTGTAGACCGATCATGGACCAGAGGAAGCGCTTCATGAATTGTGAGGGAGAGATCCGAAGAAGCATCAAGGAGAAGGATATCTTGACCAAGGCCATAGACCACCCCCAGATTGGTTGAGAGATAGAAGCTAATCTGGTTGCAGCTTGCGCGTCTGACAGGAAGAACTCGTCTGGTGGGAGACCGAAAGCATACGGCGTGGCGGCAAGGAGAAGACATGTGTTAACCACTATCAAAATCTGATTCTGTCAGTCGACCCGATATCGTGAGTATATTAGGGAACATGAGCTGCTACTTACCCATGCCAAAGCGCAGGTGTAATCGTCCCACTGCATTCTGTATACAGGCATCCATCGTGACCACATGCGCGCTCCAAAGACAATCAGAGCGATGCTTTGAAGGGCCAGCGTCGCACCGGCAATGGATTTCCCGCTCCTCAGCGCTGCCGCTGAAGGAGGCGCGGGAATCAAGTGAGGATCTGGTGGTGGTGGTGTTGCCATGACTCTCGTGTCAACATGTCGTTTGCGAGTGACGGGGCATTGATGCTAATTTCAGGCAGACAGTGGATCGAGCGGAACCGCGGAGTATATTAGGAGTATGTCAAGCTTCAACAAGCATGGCCCATGATGGCGTGGGGCACACTCTGGTAATAAACTTCGAGCGCAGACCCAAATGACACCGATCATAGCTTGCGATATACTTTAGGCCCATGTCGTGGCAGGTTGGGTTCAAAGCCAATTGTCGGAAATGCGCGGTTGTACCAATGAGTACGCGGTGTTCATGTCGTTGTAAAATTTTCAGGCATGTTAGGTCGTGTGCCTGACGATGTAGGCTGAAGGCGATCGTTCTTCCGCTGCAGGGGCTCGCAGTTGGGTATGTCGATCACACCACGATGTTGGTCGAGATAGTGGTGCTAGCTGTGGTAGTGAAACTTAGGTAGCATCTTCTTTCATGTCTTGATTGGCCGACTTTCTCATGAAGGTGTGCGAAAGAACATTCGATCCAACTTCTGAAAACATAGCCTTTGAGGATCATTTGGTCAGAGTTTGAATATTCAGACGCAACGTCGCATTGCCCCGACCGTTAGTCGCTCTTCGGGTTGATCATCTGTACTGAATCAGGCTAAAGACCTGACGTCGGGCGCCGAATATAAGTTTGGAGGGGCTGCATGTGTGCAGGCTAATTCCATTTCAAGTTTCTCCGCGCAGATGTTTGGCGAGAATTTGGCGAAAGCGAGATTGGGAAGATGGTAAAGACGATGTAGTTAGCGACGGGCGCGATTCCGAGCGCGATCGCGGGTGGCGGCGCAATCGTGGTAGCCTTGGACCCTAATCACTCATGACTAATTTGACAATTGCATGTGGCACCGAGGCGCTTTCCGGCGATGCCGCCAACCAGCTTCTGGAATTTGCACCTCGTGGAGTCTCACACAGCGCCGAATCGGCTTCCTTCCATGACACTACCTAGGTACGCTTTCGAACTGGTGTGGATGGCACCATTGCTCTCATCTTGGCTGCAAATCCTCTGTATTCATGCCGGAGGTTCTCCTATGCACTCAAACTCTACTCCAGCCACTGAGCTACAAAGCTATGCTAATTACAAAATTTCGACCCATTATGAGCCTTCCAAGCGAATGTAAGACGTCGCTGATCTAAGTCACTGAAAACTGTTAGTCACGTTCGCCTGCCATTGCTGCATCGAGGAGCTGCGTGCGCTCTCTTGGCCAGCACTCAGACGCCGAATTGATCGATCTTCACATCACGAACATCGCACAAGCATTGGCACCCGCAATGTCCCCTCACGGCAAACGAGGCCTCCAGCACATGCAACATGAGGCGTTCTTCGGTCGTAGACAGCTGTGGAGGCTTATACTACCTCGGCTGGCTAATGCTCCAATGAACAGACATCGAATACCGTACGAAGATGGACGCTCGCGTTATAATATATTTATGCCCATTTGCGCAAACGAGTGGGAAAGACTGGTAAACCCTGCAGATGTTATATCCTATCTCGCAATAGGTGCATGCTTCATATACAGAGGAAGAGTTGGAAAAAACAGGATCCAGAATTTCCGCCATGCACATTCAACACCCGTAGGACGAGATAGGATGTCACATAGCAGCATCATTGTATATCTCTCACGTCCACAGAAAAAAGAACACCGAGCTAGGAAGACTATCGGGCATGCGCCATGTCTTGCCAAGTGGAAAGCCTGCATGGTATGAAGAACCTAGGCAGGCAATGATTCCACCATCATCAGGGCGTTGCTTCACAGCAGAATGTCTGTATACTCGATCGCGGTTATCTCATCATGCACATATATCCGATTGTACTCCCGACGTCGTTCGCCCGGCTTAACCAGAGCTGAGGACGCGCGATCTGCTATTCCAGTCGTAGTGGCGTCCGGCAACGATGATGTGCCGCTGACGGCAAGGAGGTCACGGGCGAGATCTACTACCTAGTAAGCAATGTACACGGCGTACGTGGCGTGTAATCTTATATCATCATCAGCTTCTACTTGCAGTATCGCATGCGACAGTCTCACAGCCAGTGGAAGAAAGTATACCCCCCAAGACTGTTCTCCGCTTTGGGAGTGCGCAAGTAGCGGAAATTGGAGGACTCAACTCGACATCCGTGATTGTAACCTTGAAAGGCACACTGCTGCGGGCAGAAGACGCTGTACTACTACCACACCCAAATGGCGACATACTGCCCTATAGCGAGAGGAGAAGGATGTCTTTGCAGGGGGTGTAGCGACAGTTGTCTGCCCCACCAGCCCTCTCGCGTTTCGTTGCTGCAAGCGTCAGGGCGCGACTAGGGCAACCAGCTCTCCACGATTCGCCAGCGTGTTAGCCTCAGTTAGCCAGGCCCCAAAGGCGGTCCGCCAGAACAGCTCAGCCTCCACAATGTCGCATTGCGCTATCCAGGGTGGACAGATGTGACAGCGTGTCGCGAAACAAGTGAAGGTCGCACCGGAGACCACGGCGTGTTGCATCTTGCATGGCCGACATGGCGGTCAGTAGGGAGTAGATAGAGATTTTGCAGGATTATCGGATACGAAAGGGCGAGGCGACTGTGTGCGCCGTGTGTTGCTGTTAATAGCATCGGAGCATCGGAGCGGACTAGGACTTAGCGGCAGATCGGGTATAGGCCAGGCTTGAACGAGGAACGTGACCCTGGCCGAGCGTGTCTGGCTGCAGCAATAGCGCCTGCTAGACACCTCTACATTCCAAGCTGCCTTACTAGTAATCGCAATGCTCCCATGTTGCTTTGGTCCCAGCTGAAGACGACCCAAGCGACCACAGGCATCCTCATGGAGCCGCATCCGACGCCCACTTGACGCTCTTCGCACCCGCTCTTACCACATCTGCCCACGCAAGGAAGGCGCGATCAGGCTTACCATGGTGGGGAGCCCTTCACACCATCTCAACTCGGGAGCGCAACTCGACAGCACGGCGCCCTCAACGGAAGGAAGGGGAAAGGGCGTCGCGTTCGCCAGCGATGAGGGCAGCGCTCAAAGAAAACGGGCGGCCTACGACGAGCGCGCGCGCACCACATCCGTCAGCTCTGAAGACTCGGAGGGCTACGAGCACGTGAACACGCTGCTCTCTGCGTCGTCGATTGCTAATACCGACACTATCTCCTCGTCAGGCCACTCGACGGCTATGACATCCGCCACTACCTACGACGATCGGCCGAATGACGATACGCCCATTGCCACTCCGTCCTATGCGGCCCCCAGCCTTACCCTCCTCGAACTCGTCTCCAATACTGCGTCCTCGTCCGCGCTCCCTGATAGCTTCGATGTGAATGTGTCACGAAAAGGTGGATATGTTGCGGTATACTCGGCGTCGAATCTGTTCTTGGTCAAGACCGTGCAGCTGCCGCGACTATGGGCAAGGACACTGCAGGTCAAGCGCAAGCCGGTCGCAATCGATATTACTGAAGACGGCTTTCTATTGGCCGTGCTATCAAGACCTTCACAGGTCGATCTATACGAGATACACGGCGAGGGCGATAATCAGATCAAGAAGAGGCGGACCATCATGCTGGTGCACGAGGCTAGCTCTATCGTCATATCACCGGACGCGCGCATCTTAATTACGGGCAACAAATTCGGCATCGAAGTTATTGCCATTGGGCCAGAAGTACCTGAGACGACACGGCGTACGCTTTCTGGACCCGCCGGTGATGCATTGGAGTTCTCCGACGATGGTCGCACACTGCTCATAACGGGGTATGCGAGGAAGTCGGATGGCTCGGCCTTGTTCGTTCTGCCAGGTCTCTACGATGGTCCGCTTACAGAAGAGGGCGAGCCGATTCCACAACCCCCGGAAGCTGCATGGACCGGCTCGGTGCTGTTTCCTGAGACGGCAAGAATAGCACGCCAAGCTACCCTGCTTCCAGATGCCGACACCGGCACGTTCAACGAACTCTTCGCCTTCAACGCCGAAGAGGACTCATGGGGCATCTATGACATTGCATGCCAACGCTTCACACAGAGGAAGATGTTCCTACCGGATCACGCGAGGTGGACGCGCTCGGAATTTGTAGACGATGCCATGCCCGCAGTCTCTCCCAATGCTGACCTTGCAGCTGTGGCCCTGCGGATGCGTGGTACCACCAACATCTGGATTTACGAAGTACCAGGTTGGGAGTACAAGCCGAGCGAAAAGGCCAAGGTGGATGCCCCGATTCAGCCTTGCTTTTGCATCCCCATTCCGAACGACAATGCAGGTACTTTGCAAGAAATATGCGTGCTCAGATGGGTCAGGCTGAACGCCAATGTGCAGCGACTTGTGGCGGTCGGCAACTCGAGCATACTACCCGATGAGAACGATGTGCCTGGGGCGCCACTTGGTTCCAAGGGCGTTCTGATAGTCCTAGATTTCGACAAGACAAAGCCCCTGGGAAGCGCTCCACCGACGCCGCTCAAGACTGAATACGACTTAGACCCCCTTTGTCCAGGCGAGATGCTACCGGAAGGCTCGATTGACTTTGATCGCGAGGTGGAACTGGTACGAACCAGGACCATGGCACAGCGCAGAGCCCAGGATCGAAATGATAGTGTCGCACGAAGACCATCGAGAATTGGAACCACGCCTGTTCAGCGGGCGCGTACTTCTGCGAACCGAAATGCGCCAAGACCACCACTGCCTTCCGATGAGTCGGAGGAGTTGACACCGGAAGAGGCACAGGCAATGTTTGAAGCTCCGTATGACAATCAACAACCTCGATCTCAGATGTCTCTAGCTAGGGCTGCCACCGTCGCGGCGGTATCACCTGCGAACCGTCGGCATCTGCGTGCTCTGCCTTTCAGACCCCTGGAGTACCGCCGTGCAGACGGCCATCGAGAGCTACCACACGAAAGTGATGCCGACAACTGGGTGCCACCTCCGCCAGCATATACGACCACCGCAGCAGCAGCAGAGAGTGTCAGCCTGAGCCATCCGGATGCGCCCCCTGTACCCCGCTTACCTCATACCCATTCATCATCTTCCATACCGCCCGTTCCTCCACTACCAAACATGTCCGCAACCATTAACCCCTCCCAAATGTCTCCGTCGCACCCTTACCATCAGCGCCAACAATCGATATCTTCCGTCGACGTATCATCACCTCCAGCTGCAGACCCAGGGCGTCGCCCATCTCTGCTGCATCCATCCACATACCCCAGCCCCCAATCTTCGGGCTCAATACGACGGAGGCGATCAAGTACCCGATCACCATCGGAACAAATGTCGTATGTACCCTTGCCGCAACCCCAATCCGCATACCCGAGCACCGCTTCCCACATGCCCACCCGCCGTCCCACAAATGGGCGCACTCAACGCGTTCCTCACGATAATCTCGATCTCTACGCTCCACCTGTCCCCAGTATTCCAGCCTCCCGCCGCGGCTCGGCTCCAAACATTGCTGTCCAGCGCCGTCCTCTACCTATGAGCAACCCACGCATGAGCATGCCCTACCCTGCGCCGCCAGTCAACAATTCAAGTCAGCCAAGGAACACCCTGCCACCTCTGGCTGCTCCAGACCAACAGTACTCAGCCGGTCAAAGATTCCCGATCAGTGCGCCGCCAAGAACAGATCAAAGTGCGCAGTACAACCATCCCTATGGGAGTTACTACGGGCCACAGCAAGGTGGCGTGCATAGGGCGTCGCAGAGTGTGGGCGATCTCCTTGGTGGGAGTGGAGGTACTGGGCGCAGTTCCAGGATGGATGGCGTCCTTGTTGGAGAGAAGAAGGCCAAGGGGAAGAAGAAGATGGGATGCGCTGTTATGTGATGAGCGGTAAAGCAACGACGGACGACCGATTTATGTTTCTCATGATTATATTATACCCATGAAGTTGTTTCCTTGGTGTCGGCGTTTTGGTCTTTGGAGAGGGATTGGATGTGCGAGCGCTCCTGCAATTGGTTGAGCGATTGAGCGATGTCATTTTTTGAGAGTTTGACGAGATCGCACATCGTGGTTATCTATACACAAGGCACTTAGATTGACGCAAGGAGCAATCCAGGGATTATCGGAATTCCATCTCTTTCTAAATCTTGACTTGTTGACCTCGCATCTTGATTAGAAAAACGGTGATTACAAATCTGACGTGGCTTTACTGTAACTCAACTCCTACCATGGCATCACGCTGACGAAATCAACCACTCACGACTCTACGACTTCAAAATTTCATACGCTACTCTACTCTACTCTACTACAGAATTAGGTCTTCTCTAAGAACGAGAGTCACAATCATAATGGAACCCCGTACTTTCATCAACCCAACTCCCCAGAACCGGTGACGTACTACGATATCACGCAATCATGCTCACTGAGCCCGTGAAGCCGTAGCAGACATTTGATATGACGCTAACTCATCTCTGTCCGAATTACCCCGTGCGTCTAGGCACGAGCCTTGGCGCATAGCGTGGAGCAATGATATATCGCATCGTGACATTGGAAGACCTCTTCAAGACACCCCCGCTCAACTATTCCAAGGCGTTCGAGATGGTCGGTCCGCGTAACAACAAGAAAGAGCCCGCGCAGGTACCCGGTGATCGAGGTGACGTATCGCGCTTGAACACGAGATCGCACTCTGTTATGGCGCAAGGCCACAATGACTTCAGCGGCAGTCGCCCAGGCTCCCAGCGTAACCAGAGCGTCTCAGCCGATGACGTGGTAAGCTTTCGCTCCTTGGCTACCAGATGATATAGCAACTAACGTATAGCAGTTCGCATACAGCCCCAACGTCCAACCAAATGGGGCTCAAACGTCAAGGAACAACGTGTTCTCGCCTATGGGTCAACCGAATTATCCCACCATGAGTCCCAGCTTGGTAAATCAGGCACTAAAGACTGTAAGTATCTGCATGATCAGTGTAAATGATACTTCAACTAACATGACAGCAGGAAGGCTGGATCACACCAACACTGTCTAACAGACAGCCCACTGGTTTCGCACAACCTATGGACGCTCGCCGATACTCTCAAGCTTTATCACAGGCAGGCTACCCACCCTGGGCAACCCTATCAGACTCTCGCCCGTTCAACCCGGGCCCACCCCAACGCCCGATCGCAACCCCGTATACCCGCTATCGAGAAGATTACAAGCAAAACCTTTTGACCGATACGTCCGCGGTACCTAACTCCTGGCTACCCCAACTCGATATCGACCTCGATCAGATGCATAACCAGTGTCCCGTACCCAGCCCATCAAGACCACTACTACAACCCTACTCGATCTCGTCGTTCGCTGAACTCGAATTACCCACCGGCGCGGCTGTCGCATCTTACCTAGAAGAAATCATATGGCGACCGTCGACTGGCGCCTACGCTGTACCACAAAACGAAGCGGAGAAATCGTATTATGTCAAGAAGATCTGTTTCGGTCTCGTCAACCTCTCCAACCTATGGGATACAGTCGCCGACGTATATCCCTACGCCGTCAAGTTCTCCGACACAGGTACATGGGCAGACCCTAGAGACATCGAAGCGACCGCCCACATCATCGTCAGCAACGCTATGCGCATCCACAAAATGGGTGTCGCTGGCTTGCCGTTCCGTCGATGCAAGGAGTTTGAGTCGCTGAACGCAGAGGATATGGATTTTACTTTTCCACAGCGGATTCATTATCTTGCACGTCTGTTCTGGCACTCGAAAGTCGCAGCCGATAATGTCATGTTGGGGAGGGACATTGCCAAGTACGTCGCCTTGCCGCTGACGTCCCTCCGCCATCTACCACGGTTCGAAGAAGAGTGGTCGACTATGTCGGACCAGCAGCGCATAGTACAGACTCAGATTCATCCGTATCCGCAAGGGCTTAGGCATCCGACTCCTCAGGAGCAGGAGCAGCTTCTGAAGCATGTACGTATGTTGCCGTCGCTGTACAACAACTATATGGCTACGGGTGGTCAGTCAGGTACGTTCAGTCCACGTCAAAAGCCCCCTGGTGGACCAGCAGCACCCGGGAAGCGTCCGGCAGATGGTGACGGAGGATACAAGATGGAGCCTGCAGCTAAGCGCTCTCATAACTATGCGCGTTCTCGGGGTGATGAGAGCTTTGAGAAGTTCCAGTATGAAGAAGTTCACCGCCCAGGTAGCACCATGGGCACTAGATCTGCCACCCAAACTCCGGCAAGCGATCGGACCAACGGATGAGAGACCTTAGCAGAGTACTGAAAATCTGGAGGGCAGTAACAGTACGATCGTGGGGTAGCCCTTTAGGCTCGAGCCTGGCGAAGTCTCGATAGTGCTGCTTACTTACAACTTATAGACCATGTAAGTAATGAGCGCTGGTTAGGTTGTGTTTGATGGAGGTTGTACTACGGTGGGAGATACCCCGAGGATAGATCACTTAACTTAAAGCTCTTGTCAATTTTCAACCCGGATTAATGTCTAGTGACTGCACATATCCAGGCTAGGAAGTGGAGGCGAGTCTTCCAGCAGTCGCCTTGCTGGGATCACATATATCGCGGGTTGAACAGCAGTGTCAAGCTACGTGAGGCTGTCAACATGAGGAATTCTCGCAGTTTCTCCACTCTTGTATACCCTTCAAGAGCGCTCCAGATTCGGGGATGTGATGCTCGTCATTGTCGCGCTCGTGTTCGGTGTGCCGCTTCCTTTCATCACACTAGTCAGAGCGCCAACCCGACCTGTACTAGTCAGCGAACAGTCGCGAATATTACAACACACCTACTTCTGTGTACAACTTATTCCACAACATCCGCGTTGACAAACATTGTTTCAATCTTTTCGCGGCTTTATTCAAACTCGATTTTGAGATCGCCCCTCTCGTTAGTGTTGCACAGCTATCTGACAGATATCGGGATCTGCCATATCTCCGATAGAATTCCTACCTCGCGAGCAAAACCTATATCGATCTCGAAATCTGCCCGAACTGCCTGATCACCACTGACTGCCGCTTATACGACTGTCGAGATGCGTCCTCCAACTGCTTCATCCTCCCAGACGGGTATGGACTCTTTGGGCCGATTTGCCAGTACATACGATCCCCACGACCAAGGCCAGCCTCAACGCACTGTATCCGATGATCAGAGAGGAACAAGATAAATCAACAGACATGCGCCCTACGAAGGGCCAGTGGAACGGGCTGTGTTGGGCCTTGACCAAGGCGATGCGAGGACGCTGTTTCGAGATCGGTTTGTTCATGAACGGGAACATCCGCAGCTCACCAGCAGTCGTGGAAACCAAAGGTCTCAGTACTTTCCAGGCCCAGAAGAACATATTGCCAGCCCCGATGCAGTGTGGCTTGGTCAGAATGACACTATCGCCGCAACGCACGGACCCTTTGTCTCGCAACCATACCCCTCTCGTTGGGAAGACGCGTCCTGGCTATACAACAACAACGGCCGTATGTCTGGTTTACAGATTCCACATGGTGTTGCTCCTTTTGCAGGGCTCCCACAAGCCTTTCATCCACGGCTCGAAGACAAGATTCCCGCTAGTCACCGCGATAAAGACAGCCGCCGTTGGAAAGAGTATGTCCCGCGAAGTGGGGAGAGTGGAGAGCCCGAAGAGACGCCCGTGGTGCACAGTCCCGTCTGGTCCGAAAAGGGAAAGACGAAGAACAAGAGTAAAACGTTGGAAATTGAAGAGCAGGACGAACTTTCCGCTGCAGTTGTCGGAGCTGAGCAACGTGCTTCGGTCCACAAGACGAAGATGAAGATGAGCGCAAAGGCGAAGAAGGACAAGCAACAAGCACCGCCAGTAAACTCATTCGGCTTGTACTTCACGGAAGTCACAGAAGCCCGCCAAGGAGCTCGGGGGCTGGACTGGCCACCTCGTGAAGATGACACCCTGCCAAACACCAAAGAAGAACGGGTCGCAGTTGTTCGTGAGCTCTTTGCAGCCATTCAAGACACCAGCGATATCCAGGACAAGAAGTCGAGCCCCATGCTCAAGAAACGCTGGTTGGCAGAGAGTGCGGAAGAATCGAACGAAGACGGGGTTGGAGACCCCGGGAAGACAAAATGCAAGCAGAGTATCGCTAAGGACACGGTGTACAAGCCCTGGATTAAGGAGCGTCTCTGCTGGGAGATATTGGTCAGTGTCGCTGCAGGTTACGCAATGACAGGCGCTAACATGAACAAGGAAACGACTGAACGCATCTACCGGGAAGGCACAGCATTCGTCTCGATCCTGGATCCGGTAATGATCGAGCGCTGCGAGGAATATCGGGAGCTCACATTCAAAGAGCGCATTTCCAGTGTAGTGGGGGTGTTGAAGTCGTATAAGAGCCGTGTTGATAAGTTGCTGCGTGGAGGGTGTGTCGAAGAATACGTGTTGTGCCCGGATGCTGTTCTTCAAATCAGCTCGAGCAACCGCGAACAGAACGATGAGCGCCAGAAGGACCTTGCCCATGGTCGAAAGCGCGAAGACCGGCCTGTCAAGAAGCCCGGGAAGAAAAAGCAGATTCGTAGGTCTATCATCAGGCACCATGGGACTTTACTGACCATCGTAGTGGCGCCTACACCGGCAACTAGTCGCAAGCGTACTCGCTACAATCCTGAGGACGCGTCCGATGTAGAAGAGCCGCAGAAAAGCCGCACCCGTAGGACCTAGACGCAGTGACCTTAGAGGCGCGGTGCTGATTCGGTTGGAGTTTTCGCATTCCCTCAGGTGAGGGAGGCGTATGGTGTGCTCAGTGCGGGATAATTTGATTTGCTTCTCTTCTGGTATGTGTGATTGTTCAGTTTCCGCTCGTCGCAGCCAGGTTTGGTGCACAGCGTTCTCCCCTCGAGCAGGTGGTAAAGAGGGCTTGATACTTTTGGTAAATGGATCTATTTCTCTACAGACTTAGGCGCTTTGGCTAGGTTCTATGCCTAGTATCAGTGACGCAATCCAACATCTGAGGCTGACGGCCGATGTGTCTGGCTGTACATGACGATATTGTGCCGCGCCCGCTCGTTACGGATCATGGGCATCAACCGCAATTGTGAATCTGCTTTCTGCGAGTTCATTGGAAGTAAGAATATCGTGGAGATGTAGTGCGCGTAGTGAGTGGCATCTGGGTAGTTGAGGTGCGTCGGCGTGAAGTTTGACGCGAGCTTCGGAGCGCGTGACGTCATTAAGTGGGGCCGCAAGCGGAACGGGTGATGCCTCAATCCACCAGCGACGTCTCTCACAACTTCCTCGCTGTCTCGCTGCGCGTATGCCATGCTAGCAGCAGTCGCGGGTATGATGCCGCTATTGTACGACGTCTGCCAATCGACACTGAGAAGATGAAGGTCCGCAACCAGGACAGACTCATACATACATTGCCGGCCGCATCACCACCCATGACATGACGCGTCTGCTTCTGTGCGAGCGACGAATGTTTCTTGCAGACTCCGAAGAAAACGCCGATGCCACCGAAATTACTTCATCTGCAGGTAGGCGCTACCTTCATGTAACAGAGGGAAAGGGCAAGTAGCTGTACGCCACACATTGTACCTGCTACTCCTACAGATGACTGCCACAACGGCGTCGAAATGATCGCACAGCCATGACGCTACACTCCCACACAGATCCTATCCTATCTCACCTAACCTCCCTCGACACTCGTATAATCACGCAGCGCCGCGATTCATATCTCTTCTATCCACACGAGTGAAGAAACATGCCGAGATCGTCTGGCGATGGATACTTCGTATGTTACCTGCAGAGGATCAAGCAGTATATGGACGCGCAACTTGCTAAGGAGGGTAGATGGGGCCGCGCGAACTCAGCCATCACTCGAAGTTTCCGATGATGCTGCGACTTCACGGCAGCATCACACCTAAGCTTGTTATACCCGTTTTGCTGGTAGGCGGGTGGGCCACCGCCGTTACTTGCATCTCGAAGCTTGTATATGACCGTAAGCCATATCATTTTCTTCCTGTACTAGAAAGCCATATTCTAACATTGCGCAGTTGGAACCGACCAAGTCTTCATCACCGTACTAGGCTTTGTCGTCAGTCTGGCCCTCAGCGTCCGCAGTTCTACCTCGATGGACCGCTACTTCCAAGGTCGACAGCTTTGGGGGCGCCTCCGACTCGCATCGCACATCTTGGCTCGTCTGATATGGATACACGCTGAAGAGAGACATGGTGCTGATGCGGGGTTGGGGAAGCAAGATCTGCTCGGCAAGGTCAGCTGCTTGAACCTGATCGTGGCTTTCGCTGTCGCAGTGAAGCACAAACTGCGGTTTGAGCCAGGAACGCATTATGAGGATCTGAAGCACCTGGTCGGTCATCTGGACACCTTTGCGCAAGCAGCGGATATGCCTGCGCCCGACCCTCCGAGCGCTTTCAGGCGGACTTGTCAGCTACTCGGCATGCCCATGGCGACGCCCAACCCACGCAAACACGTCAAGCAATCGCGCGTGCCTCTCGGTGACCTACCCCTTGAGATTTTATCTCACCTCTCTGCGTACATGAAAGTTCTATACGACAACGGCACGTTGAGAGACTACAGTATCTATCAAACCCAGACTTTGGACTCGCTGACAATCATGGACGAAGTGTCGTGTGGCACGGAGAGAATCCTGAACACACCGCTTCCACTTGCGTACTCCATCGCCATATCCCAGGTCACTTGGCTGTACATTCTGTTGCTGCCGTTCCAATGCTACAACAGCTTAGGCTGGATCACCATCCCTGCATGTGTGGTCGCAGCGTACATCATTCTGGGTATCGCTTTCATCGGCCGTGAGATCGAAGACCCTTTCGGACACGACGTCAATGACCTACCTCTGGATGCCTTCTGCCAGCAAATCCGCCAAGACCTTGACATTATCATGTCACGCGTTGCGCCTCTCGTCAACGACTTTATGGGTCGTGAAGAAAACATGCCGCTGTATCCCCTTTCATATCTGAGCACGAGAGCATGGGCAAACAAGTCGCCAGATGAGATACATGTCGCTTTGTCGCAGAAGGTAGGTCTCCATCATCCCATGGTTGAACGCGGTGAGAACCCGGTGCCACCTACGCAAGGAAGATTAAGTGGCGTAGATAGCTGGGTGGAGAAGGGTGGAGCAGGACCGATCGGCACGACAGGTCACTACAGAAGAAAACACGGAAGTGTTTAGTTTTCTCAGCTCCAGACACCAAGAACACTACCTCTTATCACCCTACCTAATAGCTAGATCCCAAACAACCATTCTATTCCGTTTCCCGTCCAACTTACCCTCTCAAAGGGCCCGTCTTCCAAAGCTGACCCATCCCTCCCAAACCTCCGATATTCTTCAAGAGGGTGTCTAATTTCCACGCCTCCCTGTCTTCTCCAATACCCAAAAACCCCAAATCGGACAACAGTCTATGCGCCTTCTCGCCATACGCTTCTGCTTTCTCCTTATCGCCCTTCTCCAACCACAGCATAGCCAACATGGCATACTCATCGGTCAACATCGACCAGACTCCTTCGTCTTTGATCAATTCAACGGACTCTTCCGCGAGAGCTATGGCTTCGTCAAGTTTGTAGGCCTTCGCTAGCTCCATAATCTTCTCCTCAGCCTGCGCGATCATTGTGCGGCGAAGATCGGAGGCTTGGCGCTCGTCGGCTGGTAGGCTGCAGAGGCTGCATGTGCATTTGAAACCCCAGCGTTTTATCAGAGACTGGCGTTTCTGGAATGGGATGCCCAAGAGGAGGTCTGTGTGGCGTTAGCACAGAAGCAGGCAGGAAGAGGGTGGAGATTACAAGAGACAGTGATCTCTTCGCCGGCCTCAATGTCGCGATAGGCTTTTATAGCCATTGAGACACCTGCGCGGGAGAAGAGGACAAAGGAGTTCGGGTTGCATGCATGATTGATGCGCTGGTACGGTCAGTTACATGCACATTGCTGTTCAGACTGCGTCGTGACCTACCGAGATCAGTGGATACAACGCCCTTGAGCTAACCTCCGCAACCGTACTGCCATACGCGTTCGTCTTCATGATAGCTTCCTCTAAGCTCCCTTCCTCTTCTTCATCCCTATTATCTTCAGTATCATAGTTCTTCCCTGCATGCGCAGAACTCATGTCCCTAATCATCGCCGGCACGAGCAGTTGATCCACAGCCCTCTTCATCAGCTTCTTATTATCAGCCTCACTCAGAGCCTTCTCTGCCCCCATATCTACAACGATAGCGGCTTGATCAACCATAAAGGTCTCGTACATCTTGATCTTTCGAGTGGCCGTTACGCCTTTCGCTTTTCCGGGTATATCGACGATTTTCCATGGCTGACCGCCGAAGTAGAGGCGCTCAGCATCCTTTCGTGTGAGGAAATTATCGAGCGGGTTGTCGTCGAGATATTCCGATGCTAGGTGGGCGGATTTTGGAGGGAAGATTAGAGAGAGGCCGTGTGGGCCTGTTGTGTTTGATGTGTAGACGCAGTACTTTTGGCCGAGGGTGGGGAGATAGCTGCTAGTCATGCAGTACGGTTTGTGAGACCATGGAGCATACGGATGATCTTCGTTTGGAGCGAATAGATACTGTTGGAGATCTGGTTGTAGCAGGTCGTCAATGTCAAGGACGCCTACTGTCGCCGATGCATGCTGGAGTGCGAGTTGCAGGACAATAATCGCTAGGGTTAGGCAGCGCATGACTGCAATGACACCTCGCTGGATGTGAATATGAAAGCTTTCCACATGCTCTCGAGGCATAACAGCATCTTATGAGAGTCCTGTGTTATCTCATAGTGCTCGTTGTGTCATGTTTCCCGAAGCGGCAATGTTCGTCACGTAGCTTTACCCGGAAATTTATCCCAGACGTTCTCCCCGACCCCAAGAGACTTGGGCACTTTGCACGCCTTCCCGCTCGGTCTGAAGACCAATTGTAAACGGGTTCTAGTCAATCTTGGCCAGACGGTTGATAACGTGAGGCTTGTCGCCTAGAAGTGCTGATGCAGGACGAATTGATCGCCTCGGCAGCAGGAATGTGGTCAAACCTGGTTTCCGGGTGGCAATGTGTACGGTCTTTCAATGTGCTTCAATCGACTACCGATATTTTTAAGTGGCAGTTTTCCGCTTGTGAGCGACTTGCACAAGCTGCAGACTTGTTGCCCCTGCTGAGCTCATTTCATCCCTACTACAATGAGTAAAGCGCAAATGTTAGCGGCCTATATGACTCCCTTCTGCATGTGCCGCATTCTCTCTCGAACGTGTATGCTTTGCCGGTCTATGCCTTGCATCATTGCGTTATCGAATACTATGCCGTTCAGTCTCTGCAGCTCTCTCTGCAAACAGATGAGCTTTCCAAACACGTAGCAGACGACTGCTACTAAAGAGAAGATAAGGATTTGTCCTGGCCTGTTCCATCGGGTGCAGCGATAGAGATAGAATGGTGTCGCAGCCACAGCCCATCCCAGAAACCATATCGTCGATGGAAGGTCGTACACGATCGCGAAGGCATGGATGACGATTGTGCAGATAAGGATGAAAATCTTCACACCTCCAGCAACGTCGTGGCCTATAGAAGCCCAAGGAATCTGGGAGTAAGGTCAGATCTCAAGCTGGATAATAAATTCGGGTACACATGCTTACCTGTAACGATGGGAGCCCATACCGATGTAAGAGGATATCAATCCAGTCGCTCCTGCCGTACAGATCTTCGATCTCCTTTTTTAGGCGACTAAAAGCTTTATCTCTGCCTTCGCCGTATATGAGCGGCATCTGAACTTCGAATATGCCAAGAAGACAGTACGCGGCATCTTCCTCCCTTTTCGTTCGACGATGCTCTGCCCAGTTCATGCGCTCTTCAACAGGATATTTGAGCATAAAGTCTGGACCATTTTCCAATGCGGCTACAGGAATGCTCGTCTCACGTGCAATTTCTTTTGCAAGGGAAGACCTGTCTCCAATTCTTGTGCCATCCATGGAGAAGAAGACAACGCTCCTTGGTGCTAGAAGCTCCTGAAGCGTCCATCCACGTGTAAACCATCGATTGCCTTTGAAAGGTGGTTGCTTGTGTCTCGGCAAATACCGCATGCCAGTGCTGGGTACATCGGAGAGGTATACATAACATGCTGTGGAATCCCGATACCACTTAAACATCGAATTGATGGCTTCAGCCAATTCCGCGCTACTGCTCTTATCTATGCAGCATGCATCAACCCAGAAGAACTCGAGATTGTCTCTAGCGGCCTGCGCAGCGCAGAACTGGAGCTTGGCGTAGCCGGGTTTCTTTTTGCCCTTGCCCTTGCCCTTGTATATGTCTTTGAATGTCACTTCATCCTCGTCGGCGCCCCAGGTATGTGATAATATTGCGTATGTTGGCATGTAGCGAACAAATTCAACGAGTTCGAAGTCGCCGCCAGAGGCATGCAAAAGGCGCATGTTACCGTTAGTATAGAATCTTGGGAAATAAGCTGGAAGAATTGAGATCAAATGTTTAATGATTGTTGCCTTTGGGCGAGGAAGGGAAACATGTTGTGGTGACAACGACGCCAGTGCGGGGCAGTGCAGTGAGGCTGAGCGTGATACGTTAGCATGGTGTTTTGTGGCGGCGCTAAGATTCAGCCTTCCCAAGCCATCCAAGTTCGTGTCGGCTCAGCAGGAGAAAGCCGTCTGGCATGTAATTTTGAGGATGGCAACGGGTCGGCTCTTCGGTGATCAAGATGAGTTGAGCAATAGTGTGCTTCATATTGAACATGTGTCTTGTAGTCTTCCTAACCGATCCACGGTATTCCAAAGCAGCCTCGCTCCACCGAATCGTCGTTCAACCTATGCATCATCAACATCAGCTCCACGCCTCAAAGCTTCGAGCTCATACCAGTATACGCGATGCACTCAATCTCAACCGGCACGCCCTTTGGCAGCTGCTTAACGGCAACACAGCTGCGCGCGGGCTTGTGGGAGAAGTACTGCTCGTACATGCCGTTCATCTCGGCGAAGTTGGCCATGTCGTCGAGGAAGACATTGACCTAGCGTCGTAGTCAGCACCTCATCGGCTGTTTGTCCATGTATGTTCTTAAACGCACCTTGACGATCCTGTCCATAGCAACACCGGCCTCAGTGAGGATGCCCTTGATGTTCTCGCAGCACATCTTGGTCTTGTCTGCGATGCTTCCCTCGATCAAGTTGCCCTTCGTATCGGCTGGGATCTGGCCCGAGACGAAGACATTGGGGCCTGCGACAATGGCTTGTGTCTAGACGGTGACGTTAACGTGGGTGTTCGGATGCGAGGGGCCCGATAGAGGAGGAACGTACGTAGGGTCCAGCAGCTGTGTCTCTGTTAGCAAGCTCTCCTTTTGCATCTCCGCTATCAATGGGAACGTACGAGGACACGCGTTAGCGGTGTGAATCTTCTTGATATCCGACATCTTTCGTATTCCTTTGATGTCAATTGCTCTGTAGGGTGAGGTTGTGATAGTAGGTCGCGTAAGATTCGTGGTTGTAGTAGTAAGAAGTCGTGAAGCACGTAGAGCTCTTGGTACCGCCGTGCGTATCAGCAGCATGGGACCGTTTATCTACGTCAGGTAAATCGAGGCTATCATCGGGCTAGGTGGACACCTAATTGAGCGCGTCCGCCCTACACCCGTGACATAAGATGGGGCTTGGGAGCGGCATCGGAAGCTACCCCACTTTCCCTCTTGGGCGGGCGCTGCGTGTCAGCAGCTTGCAGGGATGTTTTTGTTGATGGAGGGGTAATGAGGGCGGAATTTTTGGGGAGGGGACTTTTGCGACGGGGAAGGAGGGTTCGGCGTCGCTGTCGCGCTACGCAGGGCACAGGGCTTAGTTCGGTGTCAATGATGTAGTGTGGGAATGCTCGTCGACAGTGCGTATACAAGTAAAGAAAACTTTTGACGTATTTATCGTGATATCTTCGCGCGCATCTCTCGTCGCGCCACGTTGTGACTATACAAACCACCAACGCCGCCCAAATGCAATCCTATGCCCCGTCTATATTGTGTATTGTTTACGGTGTCGAGTCGAGATTCCAAGAGTAAAGATTACCAGCCGTCTCAGTATTACACCCCTACTGCTCCATCTTCTCCTCCTGGCCTGAAAGCAATGTGTGTACAGGCGCGTCGAGCTGGTCGCGGCCCTTGAGGAAATCGAGTTCGAGAATGAAAAGGTATCCCATGATTGTTCCGCCTAGCTTCTTCACCAGAGAACCAGCTGCGGCTGCGGAGCCACCTGTGTCGTGTTAGCATCTCGTCTCGTCTCTGATGCGAACGATGTCACATACCAGTCGCAATAATATCGTCCACAATAAGCACGTTCTGACCGCTCTTGACAGCGCCCTCCTGCATCTGGAAGAAATCACTGCCGTACTCCTTCTTGTATTCCGCAGTCTCACACGGACCCGGCAGCTTGCCCCTCTTCCTGACGGGCACAAAACTCGCGCCCAGCCTCAGCGCAAGGCTGGGACCGAACAGGAAGCCGCGCGCATCGAGTCCGACGACGACATCTGGCTTGGCACCTGTCGCGCTGAACTGCTTCTCAATTGACAGCTCGAGACCGCGCAGCAGTCCCTCGTGGAGCGCGGGGTCTGCGAAGATGGGCAGGATGTCTTCGAAGAGGATGCCGGGTTCGGGGAAGTCTTTGAACTGGCGGAGCGAGGCCTTCAGCGTGCTTTTAAGACGGGCGAGTTCGGCGGCGGCGGAGGGACGGGGGGTGGACTGTCCGCCTTGGGAGGGGCCATGGCTGTTGGACTCGAGGGTCGGGTCGGGCTTCTGCGGGGGAGGGTGCGCGGCGGTTGCGTCGGCCTTGAGTGGGGGGTCGGCGGACGTGGTGGTGTTGATGGGGTGGGTGCTGTGGGCGGGCGTGTCGTGGGGAGCGGACATGATGGGACGAGGGGAGGGGGCGGCGTTGAGATATAAGACGGACGGGTCAGGTCTGTATGGGAGGGCGGATGCGATAGATAGGGCTAGGGCAGAAGCCGGGTTGGGGTAAGGTGGTCAGGGCTGGCTGGCTGCACTGCAATGCTGTCAGACTCAGGCGTCGTCGTGGTCGCTCAGAGTACCCAGCGCGACAAAAAAAATTGAGTTAGCCCCTCTGGAAAACGGTCCGCAGGGCCACACAGTTCCTAGGCCCACCACCGAAACCCCCGTATGGCGAATCGTAGGACTGCCTGGCACCATCATGGCGCCCGCTCCTTGTTCAGCCGCTCAGCGCTCAGCGCAGCACCTTCGCACTCGGTTGCCTATACACCACCACGCTGCTCGATGCGGCAGCTCCCTACGCCCGCACCGCACTCGCCCATCCTATCGCACGCGCGCCACGGGCAGCTGTATCGCCTTGATCCCTGACCCACAACTATCTGCGGCGCCAAACATGTGCCAGACTCGACATTTACCCTTATCGGAACCAAGGGATGCCGAACGAAGACGTGCATTCACATGTCGACGTCACGCCAGGCCAGAAAACGAGCACGTAGGCTGTAGGGTAAGAGTCATACTGCCGCTTCCCAACAATTTCTCCTGCCCTCCCATGGATCCCATGCCTTCGGGCGACTATAGTAGCTGCGTTACTGTTGAAAGCCCTTCTCTAGCTTTGCATTCGCGATTCGCGCAATCTATTACTCAAACACGACATGTCAACAACATGATCTGCGTCCGCTGTCTCGCAACAAAAGCCAGTACCGTCGAGGCGTAGCGGGG